TCATTGGTATAGACAGTCCAACTTGTCAACCAACTATTCTACCTATGCCAATATCAACTTCTTCATATTCGCCATTGATGACAACCACTCTGAAACCTACTACTTCATTATATACAACTCATTCATCTGCAAAGCATCCTCTCACTCCTACCACGTCCTCACATCAAACTTATTCACAATCCTTTCCACCGCAATCTCCCCCTGATCTGTCTCAGTATACCTCAACCTCACTCCCTCTATCAGCAACTGCTCGAGACCCCTTCACATGGACTATGACAACAGAAGGTAGTACAACAACACCAACGACTCCAAGTCCTGGCAACCAACCACCAGGTGGTACTAAAACAACAGTGACTCCAAGTCCTGGCAACCAGCCACTATTAGACAAGCCCACCATTATACTCGTTGCTGCAATTGGTGCAGGATTGCTTCTGCTTTTGCTTTTGGTAACTTTTTTCGTGATATACTGCTGGAGGTCTAGAGGGAAGCCAAAAACCAAGGAAAATGAAAATCTCCAAACAAGTATTAGAATCAAAGCCAGCAGCCTGGAAGTTAATGGCTCCATCGTAGCAGCTACCAATCCTAGACAGTTTGGCCTCCCTCCCCCAGTCCATGAGCAGTACAGTGCCACGGCAATGACAGTCAGTGACACACAGTACGAGGGAGTCATCTCGAGGCGTAGACAAAACACCCGCGAAGATTTAGAGTATAGTTACGCTTATGTCAGTCTGTCCGAGGCCAAGACAAAGGTACGTTACTCCTTCAAATACGATTACGTTCAAAGAGACAACCCATCTTGGTCTCTGAGCAACCACAAAACCAGGAAAAGCTTGAGCCCAAGAAAGGCGAGATCCCTACTGTACCCGTGGCCATCTATAGCAACATTCCTAACGCTGCATCTCCCTCGTTTGTGCCGAAGCTGGAAATTTCCGACAGCGAAAACCTGCCTCCTTCCCCTGACGAAGTTGTGATTTCTGAGCGCATCGACCCGTCAGATTTACGAGCCTTGATAGCCATCGCCAGGCCAAGATAGCCCCCACGTATACGGTCCCAGTGTATCCCAGTCTTGATCCCCTACCTGGTATGGTTGCCTCCGCTCAGAATCAGTCGCGACAATGTTGTGGAGATCAACGAAGGTACTGGGGAGTATGGGTGTGCTGTTCTTGCAGTCACAAAGAACTTGAGCCTGAAAGACATGAGGCTGTCGAAGGACAACACCGATCGCAACCTTTCCATTCTACTAGCCTTGAAGAAACTGCACCCCAAACCGTCCCCGTGTGAACAGGAGGCCTTTGATAGGGAGGTGGAGTTTATGTACCAGCTGAAACACTCCAATGTCGTCCAATTCATTGGGGTTTGCTACGAAACCCCTGTCTTTCTGGTCACGGAGTACATGGAGGAAGGGGACCTCAACCAATTCCTTCACAGGTATTCTGAAATTATCCCCACGACTCCTTCCAACAAAGACCAAATTGCCACGTCGACACTGATCTTCATGGCAGCCCAGATTGCCAGCGGAATGAAACATCTCGCAAACCTCAAATTCATCCATCGCGACCTTGCCACGAGGAAGTGTTTTGTGGGAAGTGATTTTACCGTCAAGCTCGCCGATTTCGGGACCAACACTCGCTACCTGTCTCACTACTACCAAATCCGCAGTAACATTCTCATGCCCATTCGCTGGATGGCAACAGAGTGCTTCTATGGCAAGTTTTCAGAGAAAACGGATGTGTGGGCATTTGGGGTTACTATGTGGGAGCTTTTTACTCTGGCCAAGGAGGTTCCGTACCCTCAGCTCTCAGACAAGGAAGTGATCCAGAATTCGTTGAAGAGTGAGTATCGCAAGTTTCCCCCCAGGCCCACTGGATGCCCCAAGCCCGTGTTCGAGATGATGGAAAGATGCTGGTGTCTGGAGGTGAAACAGCGAGCCACATTCACAGAGCTTGATCAGACACTGCAAGCTATTTTAAAGTAGAACTCCATATTTTGCTATTTGCTATTTTATTACGGTAGCTCTTCTTTATGAAGAAACGGAGCGTTCACGGTGCTGCGCTGGTGCGCGCAGGGGGCGGGCGCAAAGCGCAGGCGCACTACGCATGCGCGCACCGTATTCTCCGTCGAGGCTAGCTAGCTGGCTGTGAAGAATACTGGCTGGCAGAAGCTGTTCTGAAACTATGGTAAGTTGATGTACTGATTTTTTTTACGTGCATAACGCCGTATATACCACTGAATGAATGTCCGTTTCGCGTGGACGATACTTTGCTAGCGTTTCGAGGTGATGGTGGCAGTTTTGCATGATTGAAAATGCAGCTCTGACTGAGAATACTAAAAATGACCTTGGCTTTTCGTATAGGTAACTAGCTATGTAGGTTTGGGATAATATCATGATACTGCAGCATATGCTCAGTTCTAATAATCTGGCCACTAGGTTTTGACAGGCTTGCCCAGCGGTATGATCCCATCTGTCCTTACTACAGATTAATGGCCTGATAGTTAGCCACCTTCTTGGCAAGGTTTGCACAAGGGGACAAAGTAGAAGATGGTAGTATTGTTGTGTTACTCAATGAATGAGGTGGAATCACCTTTTTCAATCACATATTTAGCTCAGGTGTTAGTATTCAGAGCCCATGGCATTAGATACACAAGACAATGTGACTGCCTGGTGCAGCTGTTGTAGAGGGACCCATCTTGGGTGTCCATATACCTGTGTTGGGCAAAGGCAACTTTGTAAGTAGTGGTCTGGAACAGGATGTGTTGATTGGTGTGACATATTTTAGAGTGAGGTGCTTAACCACATCAACAGTGTTCCCTTGTCTTATAATAGCAACATGTTTTTTTACAGGATCAATTAATGTTCACCATAACAATTCTTTCACTGTTCTGTTTGACAGGTAAGTATGGTATAATGGCATGTTATTTAAATTTTTTTTTTGCATGGGTCACTCAGTAAAGTAAACCTCTACAAATGTGACGACATTGTTTAAACAAGGTTAAGAGGCCAGTATCAGCCCCTTAGTTTCAGTCTTTGCTTGCTTATCACTTTTTTGGTATGTGCAAGGTGTGGCACAAAATGCCAGCTAAGCCTTCCATTGGTACAGTGGGCAGTGGGATTACCTCACTGACAAGTTACTGATCGAGGACAGTCTATCACTGTCACATTGGCATAACAGACAGACAGACGTACAGATACATCACTTACAGTGCATGTGTGCAGAGGGTTAATTTCCTTTGGTATATGGAGCATAGGTTATCTGCCTATAGTGACACCAACAACTGAGTCACTCCCTAATCAACACCCACTTTGCTTTCCTTATATACAAGAATTCAGGCATTTACTGGGGAAAACACAAGTCACTGCACACTGGTAGAGCATATTTGCCATGATCAAACCTATGCTGTAATTCTACATGTTAAATGGTATTTAACCTCTTTAGGTGTTGCACAAGTGCAAGGTGTAGTACCTCAAGGAATAGAGTCAGTCAATGGATCATCTGGTGACATTGGATGCACTACTAGTCGACTAGTAGACAGTGGTGTGATGATGTGTGGGGGGTCACTAAGCTATTTGGTTGATGGTTGCTCTCCTGACATTAACACAAGTAGCTCTGACTGGGCATCTCAGCTAGTGACAGTGAGGAAGAATGAGGCAACTCCTGGTATTCATGTTCTGCTGACATTTGGCTTTGACACAGCTGTGTCTCTGACTGGAATTGAGATGGACTTGTTCAACTGTCCTGACTGGAACATTGGTACTCCATCTATCAGAGTGTTTCTCAATCCAGATTACAACTTAACAGCTACCACCAACATATTATACAGCATTCCATTTGTATTCGCTGATGACAACTCCCTCCAGTCATCTTGTGACTCTCTTTCAAATGTTACCATTTCTGGAGGCTCATTCCTAAGTGGATCCTATCGCACAGTCTATATTCTAATGGACCTATCACACACCTCATCCATACAGTGGGTTCATGTGGGTGAGGTCAGGTTCATTTGTAGAGACAATCAAACTTGTCTTCGACCAACTTCTCTATCTTTGCCAAAAACAACACTAACTCCCTCCGGTACCACCAATCTGTATACATATTCAACATACCAAATGAAGCCAGAAACATCTTCTACCCCAGACACCTCACCATCTGACCCAGCGATATCTTCTACCCCAGACACCTCACCATCTGAGCAGTCTGACAACACCATAATATTTGCGCTGGTAGCAACCATTGCAGGACTCATCTTGTTGGCATGCTTCTTGACCAGTTTAGCCGTATTCTTGGCGAGAAAGTGCTCCTGTTGTACCCAAGCACAAAATGCTACCAAGACTGTACCGTATGAACTAGAGAAGCGTTCCACTCTTCGCAGCGGCATCGAAAACCACGTAGAAGCAACCAACCCCATACTTTCTTCTTCTGCGAATGACTCTCGCTATGTCTGCCCCGATGCTTCGCTGGATACAAACAGCAGCGATGAGCACTATGACATCATCAAGAAGGAGTTTATCTGCCCGGCAGACGAGGCCTACTACGATGTTGTCGCACGTGACGAACCTCCACCAGCCATCCAACTCACCCAGACTGGATTCCCCAAGAACAACAATGGCGGAGGACACTATGAAGCCATTCCTCTCCCTACAGAAACACCAGCAGTGGCATCACTTGTCAAGAAAGACAAACATCCCAGAAGAGTCGATGAATGCACAGTCTAACACACAATTCCCGAGCGATGAAGATGATGGAGGTCACTATGAAGTCATCCCTCTCCCGTATGACATCAGCATCACTTGTCAAGGAGGCCCAACGCCACCACCTTCTGAAAATCAACAAACACACAACCAAACTCACCATTCTCTGAGGACGACATTGATGTAGGTCACTACGAGGTAATCCCTCTCCTTGAGAGAGCTAAAGCAACAGCGTCGCATGTCAAGAGAAATCCACACCCACTACCATCAGAAGAAGAATCAGCGAATGCACAGTCTGATTCGCCCAGTGGCAAAAGCTGCGATGAAGCTAGTCGTATGTACAGCGTTGTCAGAAGGAAAAACGCTCCAATAGTGCCAGAGAAAAACACTGATCTGAAAGACTATCTGGCTGTCCAAATATTCAATGAGAACATCTACAGCGAGCCTATCAATCCTTCGGACTTCATCAGTCAACAGCCTGAGCCAGAAAAGGAAACACCGAGTGACCCCATCATTTATGCCCCAATTTACCCTTCGTTCACGGAGCTTCCTGAGAGCTTTGAACTCCCACCAAAAGTCGACAGCAGCAATATCAAAGAGAAGTCATCGCTTCGTACAGGGCACTATGGGGAAGTTGTACTGGCCAGCACTGTTGGTCTGAGTCTGAAAGACCTGAACCTCAGCAAGACTGAGACTAACACAAAGGTCTCCGTCACTGTGGCCATGAAAAAACTGAAACTGGATGCAACTCCAGTTCAGCGAAGAGCATTCGAAACGGAAGCCAAGTTCTTGTCACGACTTCGCCACCCAAACGTCGTACGCCTCCTCGGTGCTTGCTACGAATACCCCACCTTCATCATGATGGAGTACATGAAGGATGGCGACCTCAGCCAATTCCTCCAAAAATACTCTGAGGTCGTTTCTATAGCGACGCCCTCCAGTACAACACAGATCACTGAGTCGACCCTGGTGTTCATGGCATCCCAGATTTGCAGCGGAATGAAGCAACTTGCCGCCCTGAACTTCATCCATCGCGATCTCGCCACTCGAAATTGCCTGGTTGGAAATAACTTTAGCGTCAAAGTAGCTAGCTTGGGTGTCGACAAGAACATCTACCAGTCTCACTACTTCAGAGTCCAGGGCAATATGTTGCTCCCCATTCGCTGGATGGCCACCGAGTGTTTCAGCGGCAAATTCTCGGAGAAGTCAGACGTGTGGGCATTTGGTGTGACCATGTGGGAGATGTTCACTCTGGCCAAGCAGCTGCCGTATCGCCACCTCTCTGACGAGGAGGTGATCCACAATGCCTTGAAGAGGGCAGTATCGTCAATTTCCGACTCAGTCTTCCTCGTGCCCCCGGTCCGTGTACGAGATCATGGAACGGTGATGGGTCATGGACTTCAATGAACGAATCACATTTGGGGAACTGCAGACTTTGCTGCACACAGATACAGTACTGTAAAAATTTGTCTCTAGTAACGTCCTTACGTGTGTACGCACGCTCGGCGAACGCGTCACGTACGTAACGTTACACTAAGCGCGCAGTAATATAGCGGAGCGCCCGCGCGAGACTAAGCGCACAGGCTAGTGCGCGTATCCTTCGCACCTAGAGGTCAAATCTCGCTCTGCGATCACCTTCGTTCTCGGGCGCAGCTTGTGGGGAGGTGTACCGCGACCATTTTGCACTTTTTGGAAACGTCGCTTTTGTTTTTTGACAACGTGTGGAACGATGGTATGTTTTTTATCATTATACGGCTGTGTAGCATGGATATGAACAACACCGTCTGCGCGGTGTCGTCCGCGACTTTATCGTGCTATATAGAAGAGAGGAGGCCGTGGGATTGCCAATTTGCAAGCGTATAAACCCCGTAATAAAAGGTTTCAAGGAGGGCTTACCTGCGTAGTTTTGCTAGCTGTGTATTAGCTGCAGCGTAACTCCGGCTAGCATATCATACACCTTGTTTTTTCAGTACATGGTTGTGCAGATAGAAGAAGGGGTATAAAATGTTGAAGTCAGTGCACAGGCGGTATCAGCAATCATAGCCTAACACCTCATTGCAAGCTGGCTCACAGCCTGTAGTTCAGTAGCTGCAGCATTCCTTGCATGAATGTGCAAGATCGGGTTGTAGCAGGGGTGGGACTTTAGGGTACTCCCTGGTACTTTTTAGATTATACATACCACTAGTATGCAGACTTAGATGTGGTGGTGGTGGTGTAGTTAGTTCAGCTATGCCTCTGTTTCCTGTAACTCCCTGGGGGACTGTGCATATCACTCATATCATAGCCTGTTTTCAATCCAGACAAACTCTTTGAATAATTATTGTGTTCCTGTGTAGTCTCGGCCTATGCTCTGCGTTGTGTGAAACATGCATTAGTACTTTGAACCAAGCTGGTGTTGGAAAATACAATTCAGAGGCCCAATAAAACCCACACCTACCTTATTACTAAGAAGTAGGTAATGCACATGCACTAGCTTGGTTATTGGCCCTAATTGTTGTGAGTGAGATCTGCAGTTCTATGAGCTCTTTCAAAGGGTATGTGGAATTCTGGGGAGACTGTTGAGTCTGTGGTGTGGTTGGGACCTAGTGCATCTGGAGTTGGATGTAGCTCTGTGATGATGTTATTTACACACTTGCTGTTATATTGGTGCATTTGAGGTAGCTTTCACCCTATTGTGTTTGGGTTTGCAGGCTACGTAGCATTATCGTTGGTACATGCTGCTTCATTTTCCTCCCCAGTCTTGAGCACTAAGTTGCCAGTTTCCAAAATGTTTGCGTTGGGAAAGGCCCAATGCTTGTACCACTGTCCATTAGCAAGGTGTAACTTTCCAAACACTCAGGTAGGGGATGTAAACAGTTTTTCACAACCTGTCTCAGGTGGCCACTTTATTACAGTTTCAAGGTTGGGACCTCCATACATGAGCCACGTGGAGTTTGCCTGAAGATCTATGTTATATGAGTGGCTCAACTGACACACACCACCTGACTCGGCCCTTTGGTTTGACAGGGTGACCAAGTGGGGTGATCTCTAGCTGCCCTTACTATAGATCTGGAAGCCTGATAGCACTACCTGCGATGCAAGCTGCAGACTTCTAAACAAACAGTTGGAAAATATTTTCTAGGGCTGTTTCAGATCACTGATTCGCAGAAACATTGTGTGTAGTATACAGGGCACTCTTGGGTTTTTGGATGGCTATTGTGACGTAGTTGGGGGTGTGCTAGGTCAGCCTTTCCTTCTTGGGAGAGGTGCGTGAGAACATGAGTTTGTCTGTTAGCAGTTGCTATTCAGAAACCAATGGGATGTGAGTATATGTATGTCTACACCCCTCCTGGCTTAGTTGTATAGCTAAGTGAAATTAGCAGATTATTACAAACGTTTAAAAGGCCTGTTGAAATTTATGATGGGGGTTAATTAAGGGTTCACACCCCAGGTATTTATGTAACACCCGAGAGATGAGAGGCTATTGTGAGCGGTTGCAGTTGTCAGCCCTACTGACAAACGTATCGGACATGTCTTGTACACGGACACCAGCGCTCGTGAGTTTGAGTAGTCAGGGATGGCTTGGGGGACTGTGTTGTTTGTTCTGACTGGGGCTGGGCCTGGCTGACTCACACTGTCTTTTTTTGAGGTGCACACCCACCACCAGAGTCCTGTGGTATAGAGGTAAATAGGGTGGACTGCAGGTGTTAGCAGAGCTTTCTGTGGTGCAGACAACACACACGTTTGTACTTTGAAAAGAGACCACTGGGCCAAGTGCTTGTCCTTCACCCACATGTAAAAGATATGTGTAGTAATGCTGTGTAACTTTATTATGAGTAATTATGTATTTCAACTAAGACTGGAGTAGTAGTTGATGTTAAAAATTCTTGAGGAGGGTGAGCTATGGTGTGGTGTGGAACTAAGTGTGGGTGAAAGCAGGTGCTGTGGCTTTGTGTGAGGCTCACTTGCAGAAGACTAGAGTGTGAGGAGGCCCACTTGCAGAAGGCTAGAGTAGTGGGAGGCCTGTGCTTCTGTGTGGTCTATGCAGGTAGAAAATAGAGTGGTTGGGAGAATATGTCCCATCAATGACACATTACAAACACCTCAGGGAAATCCCCGTTCACTTATGGTTACCTCCTTCATAGTATAGACGGTGTCTACGCAGAGAAGGCCTCGCACAGAGACTTGTACATGTGCATATACTGCGCTTGTGCAACGTGGGAACGGCCTAAAATAGTTTGTGTCTCTCCAAGTCTTCTAAGGGAGTTGTCTCCACACTGAGGTTGTTTGTGTGATTTGGGAGGGGGGCAAATCATTGTTTTTATAGGGGAGTATGTACTAGGTAAAACACAGACGACACATTTGAGCCGTAGTTCAGGGGAGCAAAGCCATCTTCTTGTGATGGGAAAAACTGTCCCCCTGCTCCCTCCTAGAAAAAACCGTGCCCAAGAGTCAGGTGAATGCTTATTCCGTGTTTCGCTAGTTGTCATGTGAGTAAGCAGGTGACCTTTTGGAGCACTAAAAGGGTATGTGTACATCCTGCATGTCACATTGTACGTCAAAAATGAGTGAGGTGTGTGCATGTGAACTATTAGCAGCCCATATTGTGTATAGTGGGCTGGCCTACTCCCCTTGAGGAAATCCTGTACACAACCCTGCAGAGTGTCGAAATATGAGGAGATGGAAGCACTTTGATTTTCCATTACTTATTTTACAGTTTGTCATACACATCACCTTAAAGTGTCAAAATTTTGAATGGGGAACGCCATCTTCCACGTAGCAGGCGTGTATGTTACCTTACACAAGTGAAAATCAATATTTGTGCATCACTAGTTCACACTTTCGAGAAGAATATACTTACTCAAGACTGTATCAAAATGTGTGTAGGAGAGCTCACTTGCATAATATTCTACCCAATGCCTGTAATTGTTTGCAACATGTTGTGTATATTTCTCTGCACTCTCCTACAGGAAATCCGTTTTTGTTGTCTGATATTTCCACTTCTATTTCTGATGGGTAAGAAAATTTAGTTCTTTTAGTGTAGTTCGTAACTGTCCTCCCTTCTTAACACGAAAGTACAGTGAGGGTTACGTGAATCCCACATTATCGTATGAATGTGAGATTTTGCTGCATTTTATAGCCGACGTTGCCATACTTGCATAATGTCTGTAATAATTCTCAATAAACGCAGATACGTAGAAATTTAGCAATCGTTGCATATGCCTGTGACTCTTGCATTCCTCGCCAAATATGCTTTGCATTTATTCTAGTTCTTGCTTACTGTTTGTTAGTCTGTAAGTCTGCCTGTTCTATCACCACACGCTAAAAGACAGCCAAATAGTGATATGTATGACTTGAAGTGTGCTAATGGAAATTTTAGTTGAAAGTATTGTGAAAATGCAGTATCCAGTTAGTATAATTTCTATGACGATTGGGGCACAAAATTTACTGATGTGTCCATACATTTATATATTCGTTGCAAGTCGTTTTAGATCAAGCTCTGCCTATGTATATAGCAATTTAGTACATTTTCCTGTGCATTCATCATTTTGGGTGATGGGTTCCACTTTGTACTTCTGTGTTGGTTACCAAACTATCTGATTTTTTCAGGGCATGCACAGGTGCAGGTAGTACCTCAAGGAATAGAGTCAGTCAATGGATCTAGTGTGACAATGGGATGTACTAGTCCACTAGTAGACAGTGGTGGTGTGATGGTGTGTGAGTCACGAAGCTATCTGATTGATGGTTGCTCTCCTGATATTGACACAAGTACCTCTGACTGGGCATCTCAGCTAGTGACAGTGAGGAGGAATGAGGGAACTGCTGGTATCACTTTCCCTCATGTTCTGCTGACATTTGGCTTTGACACAGCTGTGTCTCTGACTGGAATTGAGATGGACTTGTTCAACTGTCCTGACTGGAACATTGGTATTCCATCTATCACAGTGTATCTCAATCCAGATTACAACTTAGCAGCTACCACCAACATATTTAGCCTTCCATTTGTGTTTGCTGGTGACAACTCCCTCCAGTCATCTTGTGACTCTCTTTCAACTGTTACCTTTTCTGGAGGCTCATTCCTAAGTGGATCCTATCGCACAGTCTATATTCTAGTGGACCTATCACACACCTCATCCATACAGTGGGTTCATGTGGGAGAGGTCAGGTTCATTGGTATAGACAGTCCAACTTGTCTTCAACCAACCCCTTCATCATCTCCAATAGTGACAGAACCAACATCTTCCTCTTCATCATCTTCACCATCTTCAGGGTCACAGCCTTCTTCCTCTACTTCACCTGTTGCAACTTCAGTCGGTTATTCATCTCAGAGTGGGCATGATACGACTTCCACTGTCTCAGCTCCAGCTCAATCATACTCACCATCTACCACTGGATCTGTTCAGACCACAACTGCATCTCTCACTATAATACCAAGTAGCTCCAACATCACTCTGTTATCCCCCACCCCAGACACCCCTCAGTCGACCCCACCCCAGACACCCCACCATCTCGACAGTCCAGTAGTGACAACACATTGACGATCGCACTAGTATCAACCATCGTCGGCCTCATCTTGCTGGTTTTCATCCTGGCTGGTTCGATCATATTCGTCTTGATGAGGAGACGCTCCCGTTGCAATCGGACCCACTACATGGTCAAAACTGTGTCCTACGAACTAGAGAAACGCTCAGACCCTCGCACCAACACTGATAACTACCTACAGGCAACCAATCCCATGGAGTCGGCGTTTGACGACCGCTACGTCTGTCCGTCTGGATCACTCGGAACTAATCACAGCGACGACCACTATGACTTCATCAAGAAGGAGTACATCAGCGATGCCTTGTATGATGTGGTTGCCAATGACGAGCCTCCCCCACCCACTGAGTCTGCTCAACCATTTCCCGAGGACGAATTTGATGGAGGTCACTACGAGGTCATTCATCCACCTATCAGTTCTACTGGAGCTGCAGCATCATCGTCACCTGCCAAGAAACAGCAGTCAAATGCGAACTCTTCTGACTCCCCTAAGAGCCCCGAAGAGGCTGCTAGAATGTATAGCCTTGTCAAGGTGAGAAAGGCCCCGAAAGTTCCAGAGAAGAGCTCCGATCTGAAAGACTATCTTGCCGTCCGAATCTTCAATGAGAACATCTACAGCGAGCATATCAATCCTTCGGACTTCATCAGTCAACAGCCTGAGCCAGAAGAGGAAATATCGAGTGACCCCATCATTTATGCCCCAATTTACCCTTCGTTCACGGAGCTCCCTGAGAGCTTTGAACTCCCACCCGAAGTCGACAGCAGCAATGTCAAAGAGAAGTCATCGCTTCGAACGGGGCACTACGGGGATGTTGTACTGGCCAGCACTGTTGGTCTGAGTCTGAAAGACCTGCACCTCAGCAAGACTGAGACTAACAAGAATGTCTCCGTCACTGTGGCCATGAAAAAACTGAAACTGGATGCAACTCCAGTTCAGCGAAGAGCATTCGAAACGGAAGCCAAGTTCTTGTCACGACTTCGCCACCCGAACGTCGTACGCCTCCTCGGTGCCTGCTACGAAGACCCCACCTTCATCATGATGGAGTACATGAAGGATGGCGACCTCAGCCAATTCCTCCAGAAATACTCTGAGGTCGTTTCTATAGCGACGCCCTCCAGTACAACACAGATCACTCAGTCGACCCTGGTGTTCATGGCATCCCAGATTTGCAGCGGAATGAAGCAACTTGCCGCCCTGAACTTCATCCATCGCGATCTCGCCACTCGAAATTGCCTGGTTGGAAATAACTTTAGCGTCAAAGTAGCTAGCTTGGGTGTCGACAAGAACATCTACCAGTCTCACTACTTCAGAGTCCAGGGCAATACGTTGCTTCCCATTCGCTGGATGGCCACCGAGTGTTTCGACGGTAAATTCTCGGAGAAGTCAGACGTGTGGGCATTTGGTGTGACCATGTGGGAGATGTTCACTCTGGCCAAGCAGCTGCCGTATCGCCACCTCTCTGACGAGGAGGTGATCCACAATGCCTTGAAGAGGGAGTATCGTCAATTTCCGACTCAGTCTTCCTCGTGCCCCCAGTCCGTGTACGAGATCATGGAACGGTGCTGGGTCATGGACTTCAATGAACGAATCACATTTGGGGAACTGCAGACTTTGCTGCACACAGTACTGTAAACACTGCTGCACACAGATACAGTACTGTAAAAATTTGTCTCTAGTAACGTCCTTACGTGTGTACGCACGCTCGGCGAACGCGTCACGTACGTAACGTTACACTAAGCGCGCAGTAATATAGCGGAGCGCCCGCGCGAGACTAAGCGCACAGGCTAGTGCGCGTATCCTTCGCACCTAGAGGTCAAATCTCGCTCTGCGATCACCTTCGTTCTCGGCGCAGCTTGTGGGGAGGTGTACCGCGACCATTTTGCACTTTTTGGAAACGTCGCTTTTGTTTTTTGACAACCGTGTGGAACGATGGTATGTTTTTTATCATTATACGGCTGTGTAGCATGGATATGAACAACACCGTCGTCTGCGCGATGTCTTTATCGTAAGAGAGGAGCCCGTGGGATTGCCATTTTGCAAGCGTATAAACCCCGTAATAAAAAGGTTTCGGATAGGAGGGCCTTACCTGCGTAGTTTTGCTAGCTGTGATTACTGGCTGCACTGGGAACTACTCGGTAAGCCCTAATCTACACTTGTTTTTCAGTACACGCTTGTGCAGATAGAAGAAGGGGTATAAATGTTGAAGTCAGTGCACAGGCGGTAATCAGCAATCATAGCCTAACACCCTCATTGCAAGCTGGCTCACAGCCCTTGTAGTTCAGTAGCTGCAGCATTCCTTGCATGAATGTGCAAGATCAGGGTTGTAGCAGGGGTGGGACTTTTAGGGTACTCCCCTGGTACTTTTAGATTATACATACCACTAGTATGCAGATTAGAGTGGTGGTGGTGGTTAGTTTCAGCTGCCTCTGTTTCCTGTAACTCCCTGGGGGACTGTGCATATCACTCATATCATAGCCTGTTTTCAATCCAAGACAAACTCTTTGAATAATTATTGTGTTCCTTTGTAGTTCGGCCTATGCTCTGCGTTGTGTGAAAACATGCATTAGTACTTTGAACCAAGCTGGTGTTGGAAAATACAATTCAGAGGCCCAATAAAACCACACCTACCTTATTACATAAGAAGTAGGTAATGCACATGCCACTAGCTTGGTTATTGGCCCTAATTGTTTGGAGTGAGATCTGCAGTTTTATGGGCTCTTCAAAGGGTATGTGGAATTCTGGGGAGACTGTTGAGTCTGTGGTGTGGTTGGGACCTAGTGCATCTGGAGTTGGATGTAGCTCTGTGATGATTTTATTTACACACTTGCTGTTATATTGGTGCATTTGAGGTAGCTTTCACCCTATTTGTTTGGGGTTTGCAGTCTATGTATCATTATCGTTGGTACACTGCTTAATTTTCCTCCCCAGTCTTGAGCACTAGTTTGCCAGTTTCCAAAATGTTTCCGTTGGGAAAGGCCCAATGCTTTTACCACTGTCCATTAGCAAGGTGTAACTTTCCAAACACACAGGTAGGGGATGTAAACAGTTTTTCACAACCTGTCTTAGGTGGCCACTTTATTACAGTTTCAAGGTTGGGACCTCCATACATGAGCCACGTGGAGTTTGCCTGAAGATCTAGCATATGAGTTGGCTCAACTGACAACCACCTGACTGGCCCTTTGTGTTTTGACAGGGTGACCAAGTGGGGTGATCTTAGCTGCCCTTACTATAGATCTGGAAGCCTGATAGCACTTACCTGCAGACTTCTAACAACAGTGTAAAATATTTTCTAGGGCTGTTTTCAGATCACCTGATTTCGCAGAAAACATTGGTGTAGTATGGCACTCTTGGTTTTGATGGCTATTGTGACGTAGTTGGGGGTGCTAGGTCAGCCTTTCCTTCTTGGGAGAGGCTGTGAGAACATGAGTTTGTCTGTTGAAGGTTGCTATTCAGAAACCAATGGATGTGAGTATATGTATGTCTACACCCCTCCTGGCTTAGTTGTATAGCTAAGTGGAATTAGCAGATTATTACAAAACGTTTAAAGGCCTGTTGAAATTTATGATGGGGGTTAATTAAGGGTTCACACCCCAGGTAATTTATGTAACACCCTGGAGATGAGAGGCTATTGTGAGGCTGGTTGCAGTTGTCAGCCATACCTGACAAACGCCTCGGAAATGTCTTGTACACGGACACCAGTGCCTGACTATTGAGTAGTCAGGGATGGCTTGGGGGACTGTGTTGTTTGTGCTGACTGGGGCTGGGCTGGCTGACTACACTGTTTTTTTTGAGGTGCACACCCCCACCAGAGTCCTGTGGTATAGAGGTTAAATAGGGTGGATGCAGGTGTTAGCAGAGCTTTCTTGTGGTGCGACAACACACATTTGTACTTTGAAAATAGACCACTGGGCCAAGTGCTGTCCTTCACCCACATGTAAAGATATGTGTAGTAATGCTTGTGTAACTGTATTATGAGTAATTATGTATTTCCAACTAAGACTGGAGTAGCAGTTGATGTTAAAAATTCTTTGAGGAGGGTGAGCCTATGGTGTGGTTGGAACTAAGTGTGGGTGGAAGCAGGCGCTGTGGCTTTTGTGTGAGGCTCACTTGCAGAAGACTAGAGTAGTGAGGAGGCCCACTTGCAGAAGGCTAGAGTAGTGGGGAGGCCCTGTGCTTCTGTGTGGTCTATGCAGGTAGAAAATAGAGTTGTTGGGAGAATATGTCCCATCCATGACACATACACACACCTCAGGAAACTCCCGTTCACTTATGGTTACCTCCTTCATAGTATAGACTGTGTATACGCAGAGAAGGCCTCGCACAGAGACTTACATGTGCATATACTGCGCTTGTGCAACGTGGGAACGGCCTAAAATTGTTTGTGTCTCTCCAAGTCTTCTAAGGGAGTTGTCTCCACACTGAGGTTGTTTGTGTGATTTGGGAGGGGGGCAAATCATTTTTTTTTTATTATAGGGGAGTATGTACTAGGTAAAACACAGACGACACATTTGAGCCGTAGTTCAGGGGAGCAAAGCCATCTTCTTTGGGTGGGCAAACTGTCCCCCTGCTCCCTCCTAGAAAAAAACCATGCCCAAGAGTCAGGTCAATGCTTATTTGGTGTTTCGCTAGTTGTACATGTAAGTAAGCAGGTGACCTTTTGGAGCACTAAAAGGGTATGTGTACATCCTGCATGTGTATACATTGTATGTCAAAAATGAGTGAGCCGTGTGCATGTGAACTCTTAGCAGCCCATATTGTGTATAGTGGGCCGGCCGTACTCCCCTTGAGGAAATCCTGTACACAACCCTGCAGAGTGTCGAAATATGAGGAGATGGAAGCACTTTGATTTTCCATTACTTATTTTACAGTTTGTCATACACATCACCTTAAAGTGTCAAAATTTTGAATGGGGAACTGCCATCTTCCGTAGCTGTATTTAGCAGGCGTGTATGTTACCTTACACAAGTGTAAATCAATATTTTTGTGCATCGCTAGTTTAATTTGCTCAAACCTGTACTCTTAGACTCAAAATGTGTGTAAGAGGCTCACTTGCATAATATTCTACCCAATGTTGCGACGTGTGGTATATTATGTGTATTTCTCTGCACTCTCCTACAGGAAATACGTTTTTGTTGTCTGATATTTCCACTTCTATTTCTGATAGGTAAGAAAAATTAGTTCTTTTTCTGTGTAGTTCTAACTGTCCTCCCTTCTCAACACGAAAGTGCAGTGAGGGTTACATTATGGGAGAGTGAATCCCACGTAGTCGTATGAATGCGAGATTTTGCTGCATTTTGTATCCGACGTTGCCATACTTGCATAATGTCTGTAATTCTAAAAAAGCGCAGGTACGTAGAAATTTAGCAAACGTTGTTGCATATGCCTGTGACTCTTGCATTCAGCTCGCCAAATATGCTTTGCTAGTTACTAGTTATTTCTTACTGTTTGTTAGTCTGTAAGTCTGCCTGTTCTATCACCACACGCTAAAAGACAGCCAAAAAGTGATACGTATGACTTGAAGTGTGCTAATGGCAATTTTAGTTGAAAGTATTGTGAAAAGCCAGTATCCAGTTATTATAATTTCTGTGACAATTGGGGCACCAAATGTTACTTGATGTGTCCATAGCATCTTAGTAATATTCGTTGCAAGTCAGTTTTAGGTCAAGCTCTGCCCTAGCACATTTTCAATGTGTGTGCATTAATCATTTTGGGTGAGGGTCTCCGTACTTCTGTGTGACCACACCTATTTAATTTTTTTCAGGGCATGCACAGGTGCAGGTAGTACCTCAAGGAATAGAGTCAGTCAATGGATCTAGTGTGACAATGGGATGTACTAGTCCACTAGTAGACAGTGGTGGTGTGATGGTGTGTGAGTCACGAAGCTATCTGATTGATGGTTGCTCTCCTGATATTGACACAAGTACCTCTGACTGGGCATCTCAGCTAGTGACAGTGAGGAGGAATGAGGGAACTGCTGGTATCGGTTTCGCTCATGTTCTGTTGACATTTGGCTTTGACACAGCTGTGTCTCTGACTGGAATTGAGATGGACTTGTTCAACTGTCCTGACTGGAACATTGGTACTCCATCTATCACAGTGTATCTCAATCCAGATTACAACTTAGCAGCTACCACCAACATAATAAGCCTTCCATTTGTATTGGCTGGTGGCAACTCCCTCCAGTCATCTTGTGACTCTCTTTCAACTGTTACCTTTTCTGGAGGCTCATTCCAAAGTGGATCCTATCGCACAGTCTATATTCTAGTGGACCTATCACACAAATCGTCCATACAGTGGGTTCATGTGGGAGAGGTCAGGTTC